TTACAAACCTAGTGTTTCAGAAGTTTTCTGTGATTTGATTTGGCAAAACTTCGAATTGTCATAATCAGTGAATAGAATGCTAATCGATAGGTGAACCTATGGTATGTGTGTGTGGGTGGGGGTGATGGCTACTCACGAAATCGGATAATTGATTTAGGTCTTCGAATGATTAGCGCAATACGAACATAATAAAATGTGACAAGCGACTGTTAGGTCTAAGCTTTGGGCATCGTATCACCCAATCTGACAAGTGGTTTATATAAATAACCTGTATTCTTAAATTTAATCAACCTGATTGTATACATTTCTCTACACCTAACTAGATTTTGGTTTCTTGTCAGCTAAATATTGTGAAGCTGTTTAAACTACTTTAACTTAGGCTTCTGTATAGATAAACTATGGAAAGGCTATCTGCCCAAACACTACTGGTCGATTCAATGAGCATGGTGGGCTTTTATCGGAGGTGTCAACCTCGAGTAGTGTTCGTCAGAGCTGCTCGTTACCCCCCTTTTCATTTAATTTCGTCATAGCTGTTCTGGAAATCATACTCTTCTAAATTCGTAAGAATTGATTTTCTACTAGTAGGTTCCCCTATCAACTCAAAATATGCAGATGATGTGATCTTATTTGTCAGTCAGTCAGCTACAACGTAGGACCAGGCACATATATGCATCGGTCCAAGTTGCCATACCTCTTTAGCACAACAAGATGAACACCGGATTCATAGAAGCAATTAATTTAGTGGTGGTAGTATATAAAGAAAGATTGTATAGAAAGATATAGTACAGGAAGGAAGAGAGATATGAAGCAATTTTAATCTCAAGGTTTAAGGGAAGATAAAGAGTGTATACACCTACGCCATTGTGATCGATTCTGAGCCATGTCACCTAGAGTCTCCAACCATTTATTACGATAGTCACGCGGACCCCAACCAGGTAGTCTGCATCTGCCAACATGACTCAGGCTAGAAGTTAGTGACTTCAAACACTGATGCCATGTTTTGGTTTGGCCGCCGATGTACTGCAGTTATTCGGACGCCTTGAGTAACAATGCAAGAATTTTTATAGTGCATTTCTCTATATTTGAATGCGAAATTTTGCCTCGGGACTGGTGTGCATCCTCCCAAAGCGATCATAGGGAGCAAAGTGATTACGTTAACTCCTTCACTTATCTTGAAGTCTCATCAGCCTCGGTGGGTTGATGTCTGACCTGTCTTTTGGGACAACAAAGTGGGCAATGATGAGATTAGACAGGTTACACTGATATTAGTAAACTTAGTGTTCATTTGATACTACTTATGGAAGTAGATAGTATCTAGTTTTGTTTATAAACCAAACTCGTAAATAACCTTTATTCTCCTAATAAATATCAGACTTTTTACATTCATATATATTGGTCATTTGGATCTTCTCATTGATTAACCCAGTAGCCAAGTAAATAACCTTCGTCTTCCCATCTCATTATACACATTCTGCTTCAGATCCTAACTTCATATCATATTGCCCATAAATTTGTTTTTTACAGATTGATACGTCATCAAAATATTTAATTATCATCTTTAAAGTTACTACATCAACCCTGCTTCAGTTTGGACACCTGGGCAGTATCACAGCCCTCACACAAATCAAATGAGATTTGTGCGGCGCATATGTATCTAGTGCTTCCTTGTACCAATATTTATGTGTTTAGATAAATAAATTTATTATTAATAAATAACCACCTCAACTCTCTTAAAAATTCTAAATTTCCTCTCTTGCTCTTGTTTCTCTGGCACATCTATGAAGGTAGGGATTCGTAGTTGTAGTATACGAATATTTCTAGAAAGTGCCATACCAAAAAACTCCAAGAATTTAAAAATCTCGAACAATCACAAATGTATCTCACTTTATACCTTGAGTCAACAGGCCAAAATCTGATAAGAATCATTTCATAAAATAGTTTTATTGGTAGTTAATTAGTTATCTGGTGATGAGAATTAGCATTATTTAAATACTAACACTTGATAAGTTACTTCCCATGGATTTCATGTTTCAGACATGCTCTGAGAAACGAATAAAAATATGTGGTCCTTTCGACAAAACTTTTCAGCTTATTGCTCTTCAGAATTTCAGTTGTCAATTCTGTGTAGAACAAGCGGAATTCGTCAACTTTACTCACTCGATCAGCGATTTTGCACGTTTACAAGCGTAGACAGAATAATATTTATCCGATTACTATTTATAAACTTGGTGTGATTAGTAGATTGTCCTTGTCTAATTCACGAAACTATCTAATTGTGAATTTCGACTTCAGTAGCTCCGCGACAGCTGTTCTGTTGGGCTCCCTTGTTGTCTGGTTCATTATGCCATCGATGTGATCCAAGCGGTCGATGTCCCATACATGGTAGAATTGTTAAACGTGACAAAATAACTGGAAGACCGATTAATATGAATGACCGAAAACTCCTCCAAACGGAAATGGAATCTAAGAGGTTGGCTAGACAAAAAAGTGAGTTTTCTTGTTTAATAGTGTAATTTCATACTAATTTTCTGTTCCCTAAATTCATAGGTTGAAGGATGCTCTGTAAAAAACGTAATTTTATTAACATGAGTATCAATCTCTTCTCTTCGTTGTTTTCATCACGTATAAAGTCGTTATTCACAAAAATGCCCTGGTACGGTCGAGGGTGGGAAGAGCCCGCTCTCCCTCTCGAAATGCTCTTACATGACCACGCGTGTACAGCCACTGCCAAGGAAGTTCTACTCACCGCCTTCTCGTGGCGGGGGTGTTGTTCACGAAATTGAGAGGACGTAACACATTCCCGATGTCCTGTTGTATAAAATATTTTGTGATGCAAATAAGTAAATAATAAACTCCGCTCGTACTAGCAGAGAAGATAAGTTCGGCCAAAGCTATGTATGAGTTAGTAATCATGCACAGAATGAGTCTAACAGTTACTATACCCTGATGATATAGTTCTCTTTGGTGAGGACGCTGACAGAATACAGAGAATTTTGATTACCTTGCGTAAAAATGTTGTCATGTTTGGGACACATTTTCCTCCATTTAAATACAAAACCTTGCTTCAGGACTGAGTTGCACCCATGTTCTGCCTATTAAAGGATGTTGACAATTCCCCCTTCTTGATCAAGAAATATCGTAATTTTATATTGAATAGGTATGTTTAAATGAGTGCTTATGCATTTGATTTCGTTCATTCCAATAAACTTCCTTCTCCACCTTCAGTCTTCTTACTCAATAGCTCGCTTTTGTTTAGGAAGTTTGTACATCTGTGTCCGACTTGGGCACCGCGTGTTATTACAATTACAAATGGCTTAAATAGACCATTTTTAACGGCACTTAGTTTGTACAAAATAAATTCTTTTCAATCAGCTGAGGGGATTTGTTAAACAAAAAAGTATCGAAATTATTGTCTTTTTTTACGTTTTATTTCATACCATATCACTGTTAATAAGGATACTTATCGTAAGTGTTTTTGCTCTTGTTCAAGACGTTTATTGACTGCAGCTGCAATTTTTGTCTCTGAAGTCGTTATAGAGTTTAGAACATTGGCGGATACTTTTGTTGTTTTTATATCTTCTGAGCTGTCAATCAAATTATTTATGTATATGATTTTGTTTTCCGGTCGTTTCTACTCAGAACTAGATGAAGAAAATAAGAAAAAAGCTAGGAGACATTATCCAGGTCTTACCAATATATCAAAGAAGAAGGTAGGTGTCCGTGGGCGCCTGGCGGCACAAGTAATGAAAAAGTAAGTTTCCACGTATAATTTTTTGGTCCATGAAATTGTTATTAAAAACGACATCAATCAGGTTCCAGATAAATCAATCTTTTCTCTAGTTTCTTTCTCTCATTCCTCCACACTGGTGCTTATTGGGTCAATAGAATATTTCATATTGGATATAAGGGTACCATTGCAATCGATGTTGTCTCATGGCATCTAGTCCATCAATTTCTTTCTTCGTCTTTTCGATCCCTGAAGTAAACCCTTCAGCCATCAATAGAAATTGACTCTGTTAGAAAATCCAATATTTCCCAAACATTTTAATAAAATCATTCCAAAAATAGACTTTAATTATCTCTATCTTGAGCATTTAAACCACGTGCACAACAAAGAATTAAAACTTACGAAACTTGCTACCTATTTGCCCAAATCTCAACGAGATAAAGTACCTAGACTTTTTTTCTGTAATGTCGTTGGTTAGAGATGTAATGAACTTTTGGTATTCTTTTGTCTTTTCGATAGTTGAGAGCACGGTACAAGTTTGATTGAAGATTATTTTACGTTATACTACCTCTTGCATTGATACTCAGGTTTGGGTGGTTAGAGTCATCGGGAGTCAAATCATTAGATTGTCTAGGGGAAATATCCTTAAAGCTACTATTTTTAATACACCTTACTGTTTGTTCATAATCCAAGTTTTACCAACTAGTGATGTGTTCTCAGTTATTAGCTAAATGACGTGCGTTAAGAGTGATCACAATCAAGATAGACACTAAATCTCATAGATCTCCAACACCCCAGAACTTCCCATCTTCTTTTCCTTAGTCGACATGTTTTTTTCTGAGTACTTTAGTTGTCAGTATTAATGAGGATGTGTTTTGTTATCCGAAGCTAAATAGTCTTGTGGGTTTAGCTACAGCTGATGAAGGTTGAGGAGTAGGCGCTGTTGATGCTGAAGACGCTGATGAAAGTCTTGCAATCAAAACATCTGGCTTAGAGTATACAACACCACCGTTCGTCAAACACATTTGTAGAATAAAAAGGTGATCCAGAAGATGCCATTACCTTCAGTCGTGTTTCATTTACGTTCATTAGAAAACACTGTCCCTTTCATCAATCAGTCAGTTACAACGTAGACCCTGGTACGTATATTGTTATAACTTGTGGCCTGGATGCCCTGTTAATGTATAACGTGATGATACCGCCAATTAGAAAACAGTGGTTTATCGATTGGATCAATGACGTATAAAACTCGTGCGAGCAGTCTAGAGTACTTATCGGTCCTGCTTTCTGCCTAGCCCAGTCAGATAAGTCCAGAAAACCAATCTCAGCCTCTGCGGTATGAATCCTTTATTTCAAACATACTAGGTTTATATACCAACCAACCACACAGACCACATCGTGCCATAAAATAAGAAACAACAGTTGTACAAGATTTAGCTAAATGTGGCTATGAGTAAAGGAGATAGTAAATGATAGGACATAAATCAAGAATAATAAATCGTATAATAATAGTTCATAGGTCAAAATAAAACTTATAGTAAATGGATATGAATACTTCCGTTATTTAACAATTATACGATTAAAAATATACACATAGTACTGGTCCTTAAACGGATCCCAAAGTTACCATTCATTATTCTTATCGGGACATAACATATATACATCTGTTCAGGTTACCACACTCAAATAACACAGAAAGATGACATTTTCAGACCAAATCCCAGAATAGTAGAGGTAATAACAGCATGAATGGTAATAGAAAAGATTAGCGATCAAAGATACGATTCAAGAAGAAATATAATTTAGTGAAATGAAAACAAAGCCATTTATAAGGAATTTGGCAGGAAAACAAAGAGTGGATGCACCTGCTGTTTCCACAGCATTTTAGATATCATTCCAAACTGCCTCGAGGTGGATATCGCTTTCGTGGTTGACTAACTCCTGCTCTAGTTGTTCCTGAAATATGTTCTTAACCTTTTCATCATTATGTTAAACTCTAAGAGGTTTTCTTTCTATGGCTTTTCTGCATTTACTAAGATGCAGACATTTACTTGCTTGAACTAAAGCATGAGCTGGGTTTAAACATGCACTCCAGAATCAGCGGTAGTCTTCTATCGAGCGTCTTCAACAATAACTGATGGGAATGTGATCTGTTTGAGTCTATCGTCGAGTCGATTGTGGAGGTCACCACGCAAGACGATGTTTTTACTTATACCTAAAGTGGATGCTTGCTTGATATAGATGATCATCCAAACATATTCGCAGCAGACGGTCACCATCTGTTCTCTGAGCTGTGGCACTGTGAGATCTGTCTAAATGAATCTCCGTTTGGTTTAGTCTACCTGTTTAAGCGTTAAAATCACCATCCACCATAGCTTCTTATAAAATTCATCTAAGCTAAAATCAGTGTTATCGTAGGCAGAGACAACAAAGATGCAACGGTGTGTGTGTCACTGGCTTTTCGTGTTCTTACTGTTCCGTTTAGTCGGACAACCCATATGCGACTGTCTGTAAGAATCCAGTCTAAACAATTTTGTTCTGCTTTCGAACACAATGCTTTACCTATGCCAGCGAGGTCAAGGGAAATGGCAGTAAGGTCTTCATACACACGAAGGGGAAATCGCGCCGTCTGTTTATTTTCAAGAAGTGAGGTGAAATGAAAGACCGTACTCGGATCCTGTATGCGCGCTTCGGAGACGCAGCATATATCGATAGCGTAATATTCTAGAGTTCTATCTAAAGAGGCCTGTTGTTCTATCTGACACACACAAGGTTCAAGCATTAAAAGCTCCAACATGTAGTTCAGATACGCAAGAAGGGTTAGTCTTGAAAATGAGTGAATTATTAGAGATTAGGTAAGGATTTGATCGTGAACAAGACAATCTCGAGGTTTGTTAAAAGTATGGTGTTGGTCGTCATTTTCCGGCCATCCACGTCGTGAATGGATATCTTTATTCTTGAAGGAACCGAAACGAAATCTAGGATAGTGGTAGTCTTGGCGACCTGATAGTGTGACCTCAGAGTTACGGGTACAGCTATTCGAAGCTGGTCCCTCACAGCATTCTCTTAAAAAGTTATTGGTTTGTTGGCTCTCCATATTCAAGACTCTAGTGAAATACTACAAATTCCCCCTCCGTTTGTCGTATCGGACAGCTTGTTTAACGTATGTTCATCCAGAGACTCAGTGACAGCTTTGTCTGGCTTTGCTGGCGTTAGTGTTTTACTCAGCACTAGAGCCGAGACAACACTAGTCAATTTGATCCCCATTAACAGTCGGTCATGTGATGTTAGTTTAAAAAGCGCCATCAAAGTGAGAAGTCGGTATGGGAAACAATGTCTTTTCGTAATTTCAACCTATGCTCCGACAGATCGCATCCCGGATGCTATCAAGGATGAGTTTTACCACCACTTAACAGTTCATTTACAGAAAGTGTATTCGACAGATATTATGGTACTAGCCAGAGACTTGAATGCACAGATTGGGCGTCTAGGCACAGAAGTGAGTCGTTTAGGTGGCCGCAGGTCAGATAACAGGTACCATCTACCGCAACTTTGAGCAGACTACAACCTGTCTCTGGCTAGTACTAACTACCAGCAGTCATCGCCGACGTACCACCTGGCGTCCTCACTCTGCATCTCAAGCCTGAATTCAGATTAACCACATCGCGATCAACTATCGCTGGCATGGTTGTGTACAAGAATACCGATTCTCTTTAAGTACCTATCTGGACTCTGATCATGCCCTTGTTTACACTATTCTTATCTTGCGTTTCAATTGCCAAAAAACTCGTCGCTCTAAATGGATCGACGCCAGCGAATTGGTTGTAGCTTCTGTTGCAATTAAATATCAAACCGAGCTAGGTTCAACGCTAGCTACCATCCCGCGGAAAAGTATGGATGAGCATTAATTGTATTTGCATGACGCCATGAAAATTGCGAGTAAAGTCGCTTGCGGCTTCGCGAAACATCCTGCTTATAAGCACTGGATTTCTACAGGCTCCTTACAATCCGTTGACGCAAGTCGGTCTACTCTGAGTGACCTTGAGTTTGACCATACACGAATATTGTTATGTAATGAAATTGTACGAAATTTGCGTAAGGACCGAGAAGCCTGGTGGTTAGAGCAACTAACAAGGTGGAAGCAGCAGCTTCATCTTCTAACTTCCGGAAGTTCTTACAACTCATCCGAGACACTGGCAGCAAGTAGTTAGGTGTATGAAACAATCTGTGAAACTGACGGGACTCCACAAACCACCAGTCTGAGATGAGTTACCTTCAACCCTTTTTAAAGATGTTGGTGACCTTGTAGTTAAGGTGCAAAGTTGTTTACAAAGGTCTGGCAATTAGAGAGTGTTCCAACATCATGGAATGAGTCGATAATTGTTCCTATCTTTAGAAAAGATTCACGTCGTTTCGGCAACAACTACAAGGGGATAGGTGTACTCGTCAGGAGCAGACTGGTTTTCGTTCTGGTCGGGATGTATTGATCATATCTTCGTCCTCCTCCAAATGTTAGAACACCGTCATACTTGTCACAAGCCAACAGTCATAGTTTCTTAAAATTAGAGTCGCCTTCGATTCGTTGGACAGGACTGTCCTCTGCGACTGTCTATCGAGTAAAGGTATGCTCTATATACAAGCACCTCAGGCAGAGTGAGACCATACAACCACCTCTCTCCATTGTTCCATTCAAGCAATGGGGTTAGACAGGGTTGACCAATCTCACCATTCCTCTTCAACTTTGCTATTGATGACGTTCTGGAAGCAGCTTTGATGGATGTAGGTAGTGATGGTGTGGACCTGTTGTCTAGAGAAAGACTTCTCGACCTGGAATATGAGGGCGATATTGTCTTACTGTGCGATGATACCCAAGCCATGCAATCCGCACCTAATCAGTTGGCAATTAGTGTCCGTTGGTATGGCATGTGCTTTGCACCTTCAAAATGTAAAGTACTTTCACAAGACTGGTAGTCGAGAAGTTCATGTATCTGGGTAGCTGCATAAGTGCTGGTGGTGGCGTGTGATGAAATCAATTCATATATGGTGAAAGTCAGAGCGGTTTATGGCAATCTGGGCCATCTTTGGCGTCTTCGTGATGTCAGTCAGACTGTAAAAGATCGGATCCACAACGCAACGGTGAGAGCAGTTCTGCTCTATGTCTGTGAGACATGCCCTCTTCTAAATTGAGGATCTTAAGCAACCTATCAACATTGTTGTCTCCGAAAGGTTGCTAACATCCAATTACAACACCATGTCAGTAATGAGCAAGTTCGACATCGTGTGCATGCGGGCACAGTGACGATAATTCAGTCGGTATCACCATCTTGAAGCAGCAACTTTGATGGCTTGGAAATGTTGTAGGAATATCGCTACAGCGAATTCTACGTCGTGCATTATTTGTTGATGCTGGGACATGTTGGAGAAAACGGGGTGGTCAGTGCACAACGTTGCGTCGTGGTATGAAATAAATCTGTACAGGACTGGCTTCTATTGGTCCGTCACGACTCCCCGGTTGGGGTCCTAGAGATGATGGAACACAGTGGCTTGAAACTATTATACATTGCTTAGAATATTTGACGGAGAGTCCATACTTTTTAACGGAAAAACAGCATACTGGTTTGTTTGCAAACCCTCAGGCTTCCCGCACTCTTTTTCACATCGTGCCTTAATTTGGTCTCTGGTTCTATCTACGCAATCTATTTCCATTGAGACATATATGTTTTGTGGCTGTGAAATGAAAATGCTTCCATTTTACTTTATCAAGCTGTACAAATGATCTTCAGCCTAAATTATTTATTTTCTTTTATACTTGTAGGATATCATTACGGAAGCGTTGATGAATAATAAATGAAACAGACAGAAAAGTTTAATGCGCAGATTTTTCCGACAATCCTTATTGAGTGAAAAAATTAATTTTATCGTCACAATTCCTTACTTTGTACATATAAGTTATAATACCAAACAGTTTTAAATAATTTGAGTGGTTCGTAATACAAGATAAATCTATTCCTCTTACTAACTCCGTTGATGTTTCTTCGCATCACCTGTTGCATTCCGGGTTTATACCATAAGTAAGACATTATTTTTCCACAGGCCAAGCTTATCTTCCCGTGGTTATCGCTAGTGATCTTTATGTGTCTATGCTACGGTGAATTATTTATTTAACAGTGGAAACGCATTGGGAATTCATACTTAATCACTGAAGGTGTTAAAACGACACCATCGTGTCAAGGCATTCGTACAAGTGGATCATTCTGCCTACGTACTATTGGAGGCCCAATTTCGGGAATCTGGAGTTGCCTCTAGGGGAGGTCCTCTTGATTCAACTTCCAGTAAAAATGCATCTTCAAATCACTAAACATATCAGGAGATATTTTCGGTAACTAATCTTTAGTCAATGGTCCAATAAACCTAAATAACTATAAAAAAATATCCAACTTAATAACTACGGTAACCAAAACCGTCCACTTTAAATAAATCACTGGTCAACTAAATTTTTAGTAAAGCAAAGTACTCAAAAAACTATTGAAATAAATTTGGGTTGTGAATAGAACCTTCAACAAATTGCTAGGTTTTTGCTTTCCAATGTTGTGTGTACAGACACAAAAGTGAAGTCACTTTTTGAAGCAAGACAAATTTTGGTTTAAGTTAAATTAAAAATAAAACGTGGATAGAAGTGAGGTGTCAGGGTCAGCATATCTAGGATAACAAATTAAATAAAATATTGTGTTCAATAACCAAGTTAGAAGATATTGAACTCTAGTCTAGATGTAGTGGTGGTGGTTGTTCGGGAATAATTGAGGAAATCAGAGCTGAAAAGAACTGATAAGAATGATTTGCTGCCAATCGCAGATTTGTAGTTATCCTTGTAAATCTCGATTCTTGTTCACCACGTAGGTTAGCGTTTGCTTGATCTCCTGTAGACTCCTGAAGAAGCTGGTTTTGCTGATTCTCCGATTGTCCACTTGCCTGTTGATAAAGAAAATCACATATGTTGTACAATATCAAGTTATGACGCGTACATATACTATTACCCGATAACAAATCTAAATCTTTATATCAGATAGTGGAATTTAAAAAAAAACAACCATGTGGTTTTTAAAATCAAACTGACTAGAAATGTGTTGGAACTACTACGTAAAGTATAATCATGTGAATATTTCTCCAGAAAAACCAGTCTTTTACAAACATGACAAAATAATTTTATTCGATAATTAAGGATTGATTCGTTCGGTCAACAGAACAAATCCTTAAAGTTGGTATCGTAGCAGATCTCTGTAGGAGTGGTCTAGAGATCTGTTACAAACGGCATTTGATCTTTTTCGCTACTTTCTGACCAATTACTGAAGACGTTGCGAAAACCAACTGGAATTTGTCATAATAATAACGAAGCCTAAATACATTCGATTCAAGAAGCGGCCGAGGGTGGGTAGAGTCCGCTCTCCCTCTCGAAATGCTCTCACATGGCACGCGTATACAGCCTCTGCCAGGGAAGTCCTACTCACTGACTTTTCGTGGCGGGTGTGTTGTTCACGAAATTGAGAGGACGAAAAGCGAATGTCCGGCGCTTTAAACGAGTTGATGGATACGGAAAGTCCACCTATGGGAGTTGGAAAACCCTGGTTCCAAACCAATGGTGCACATGGGCTCCAGTATCCTGATGGAACGAATGGCGTATGAACCAATCGTTGGTCACCGGCTACCATGGGACTGCATCTCCTCAAGATGCTCCACTGCCTTGTGGACTAGACCTTCAGGTCAAAATCTCGGGGTAGTGGCCCCCTAAGAAAACCACCTGCTTCGGTTTGAGCACCCAGGCAGTATCACAGCCCACACACAAATGAAATGACGCACCACACTGCTCTCATTCCTAATAGAAGAAAGACAATTTACAATATTATTTACTACGTCGCTTTTTCACTCATTTTATTCCCAAATTGTGTATCCTTCCTTTCCAACTTATGCAGTAGCTCGCCCATGGTGGAAACTCTGTCCTATCTAAACGATCTCCAGTCACTGTCTGGTTGAAAGTGAATGCTTCCACCGATTACGAATACTGAAGCAGTCTTTCTGAAACGACGTGCGCCGTTCAAGCTGGCTTCCTCCGACGTTCGCACACTAATGCAGATCGGACAACAGATAGGGCTGGCTATGTCTTTAGAAAGTCTTAATGTTGATGTTTGTTGTCTATCCGAGACCCATATTCAAGACTCTAGTGAAGTACTACAAATTCGCTCTCCAGCTGTCGCTTCGAAAAGCTTGTTTCACGTGCGCTTATCCGGGGACCCTGTGGCATCCTCGTCTGGTCTTGCTGGCGTTGGTGTCGCACTAAGCGCTAGAGATGGATCCCCATT